ACAGTACTTGAGTAAATGTACTTTCCCCCCACTGCGTGTTAGTGTGAGACCCTGAAAGAGATTAGCATGAAGATGAAGATGACTCCCTGCTCAGCCCATATTAGGCACGACACCTCAGCATGCTTTGATGATAGCTGAGTGTGTGTGTGTGTGTGTGTGTGGTGGTGTGTGTGTGGTGTGTGTGTGTGTGTGTGTGTGTGTGTGTGTGTGTGTGTGTGTGTGTGTGTGTGTGTGTGTGTGTGTGTGTGTGTGCGTGTGTGTGTGTGCGTGTCTATAGCGTAGCGGGCGTCAGGCAGGCGTGTGATTGATGTGTGTGCTGGTGTCTGTAGGCAGGTTAATGGTGTGATTGTGGAGGTAATCTCCGTGTTCTCTCGTTAAAGGATGATGGAGGACCAGGAGACCCTCACTGTCTCTGCTGCTTCACAGGGTCTCTTTACACAGTCTGCACACTCACTTCATGTTTATATATACATGCTTCAGAGGAAGTAGAGGAGTGGTGGGTTCAGGGACCCTGCTGTACTGACTCATGTAGATCAAGTGTAGGATTCAAGATTCAAGGCTTTTATTGTCATGTGCACATACTAAGCTACAGTGTAGATATGTCAATGGAAATCTGAGGTCACAGGCTCGTCCTCCAGCTGTGCAAGAACATTAAAACAGATACAATAGTTACAATAGTGCAAGAAGAGTCTATATACAAGTAATTGGAATATGATATATTAGATAAATAGTTTGTAAGTTGCAACAGATGAATGTTATGGATGTTCTTTCAAAAGTTCAGGTGTTTAACAGTCTTATGGCCTGTGGGATGAAAACAGGGCGGGGTTGCACAAAAGACCTTAAGTTTCCCCCTTAAAGATAACACTTGCACTCGTCTCTTCTTGTCATGTTTTCTTCTTATATGGACTATGTAGATACAGCTGAGTCATATGGTGGCCGACAGGTGCAAAAAAACACGCTACAACGGCCTAAAATATTTCCATTAGGGGAAACGAGCTGCAGCTTCAGAGAGCTTCAAAATGCAAATATAAAAACACACGTTCAAAAACACAGAAACATCTTCAGCAACTTGACAACACATGCAGCGTTTAGAAAACATTCAGCAACTTGAGGAGACATGCGCAGCGTTCACTAAAAGCTGCACTCTTTAGTGTCCCCTGATCTCCCAGCTGTGTGTGTCACTTTTTAGTGTCCCCTGGTCTCCCAGCTGTGTGCGTCACTCTTTAGTGTCCCCTGGTCTCCCAGCTGTGTGTGTCACTCTTTAGTGTCCCCTGGTCTCCCAGCTGTGTGCGTCACTCTTTAGTGTCCCCTGGTCTCCCAGCTGTGTGCGTCACTCTTTAGTGTCCCCTGGTCTCCCAGCTGTGTGCGTCACTCTTTAGTGTCCCCTGGTCTCCCAGCTGTGTGCGTCACTCTTTAGTGTCCCCTGGTCTCCCAGCTGTGTGCGTCACTCTTTAGTGTCCCCTGGTCTCCTAGCTGTGTGCATCACTTTTTAGTGTCCCCTGGTCTCCCAGCTGTGTGCGTCACTCTTTAGTGTCCCCTGGTCTCCCAGCTGTGTGCGTCACTTTTTAGTGTCCCCTGGTCTCCCAGCTGTGTGCGTCACTCTTTAGTGTCCCCTGGTCTCCCAGCTGTGTGCGTCACTTTTTAGTGTCCCCTGGTCTCCCAGCTGTGTGCGTCACTCTTTAGTGTCCCCTGGTCTCCCAGCTGTGTGCGTCACTCTTTAGTGTCCCCTGGTCTCCGTTGTGTTTTAGCTTCTTGCAGCGTTTTGTATTTGCAGCGTTTGGTTTATGCAACACTTTTAAAAATGATCCCAAAACATGATCTGTGTACTTCCTCCAGCTTTTGTAGTGACACTAAATTACTCCAAGTGACAATAAAGTAAACTCAATTACTAATTCTTCAGCAGCGAGGAAAAAAGCAAACCTTACACACACATAGAAACCCAGAAAAAGTGGGTTTCATTGCCGCCGTGCTTCACACAGTTTGTGAAGCAACATGCCAACGATAACGTCACCTCCTGCACGGAGAGAAGAGGTTGAATTCGGGGGGTTCAATTGGGGGTTTCGCTGAGTGAAACAACAGCACAGTGAAGCAGGCAGAGTCTGAGAGCTGCACACTATTGCATCTGTATCGATTCGGGCTCCAGCCTTTTCCATTTTCCATGAACTCCTCTGAGCGGCTGCGAGTGGGAGTGATGGGGGGATTTGCTTGATCTTTATGATATTTCTTTAAACATGATGCTGTCGTTATGCCTCCCCGGGGAAAGACGCCAGCCATTTCCAGTAAATCAAAGGCTCTCAGGTCCCTTTGCTGTTTCCCACACACCTTATTTATAACCCGGCTAAACAGCCCCAACACACCAGCACCAACCATAATGTCTCTGCAAAGCAAAGGTTTCTCAAGTGGAGTCAAACAAATGATGAGCGGCCTGCTGCAGCCTAATTGGCCATTTTGGACTCAGTTTCTTCAGTTGATTTATTATTTTAAGTGTTTTTGTTCAGGCTAAAATACTTTTCCCCAAGATAAAACAAGATTTAAAGTTGCTTTCGTATGATTGCTTGTGGAAGCACTCAGTTTTTTTACAGATGTGCAATTAAATCAACTAATAACTAGGACGACGTCATGTGACCACCAACAAATATACATACAAAAAGGAGTATTAAACAATAATAATAAGTCATTATTTTTGAAATAGTGACAAACCAAAGCTAACTTATACTGCCGTCTTTAACATATTGTTACATAATTCATTATTTTTGCATTAGTCTTATTACATGTAGACACTGAAAATGACTGAAAGAATCAAAATTAAATATATGTTTTATGTCAGAACTGCATGTTTTGTCGTGGACTAAAATACCCACCTTTTTCAACTGCAGATGAGCATTAAATAAATAAAAAGTTCTATTGCTTGTTCTATGATGTCGTATTTTCGAGGACCCTGAAGGCAGCATCTCCCTGGTTCCCTCGACAAAAAGCCAAAGTTATTTTTACATTGGATTATTGCAGCATATAATCTCTGTATCAAACTATAAAGGAACTACTGTACAGCACGGTCACATGACTTCACATCACCACCGCTAAGCTAAAGGTGGCTAATGTTGGGCTATAAAGGAACTACAGCACGGTCACATGACTTCACATCACCACTGCTAAGCTAAAGGTGGCTAATGTTGGGCTATAAAGGAACTACAGCACGGTCACATGACTTCACATCACCACTGCTAAGCTAAAGGTGGCTAATGTTGGGCTATAAAGGAACTACAGCACGGTCACATGACTTCACGTCACCACCGCTAAGCTAAAGGTGGCTAATGTTGGGCTATAAAGGAACTACAGCACGGTCACATGACTTCACATCACCACTGCTAAGCTAAAGGTGGCTAATGTTGGGCTATAAAGGAACTACAGCACGGTCACATGACTTCACGTCACCACCGCTAAGCTAAAGGTGGCTAATGTTGGGCTATAAAGGAACTACAGCACGATCACATGACTTCACGTCACCACCGCTAAGCTAAAGGTGGCTAATGTTGGGCTATAAAGGAACTACAGCACGGTCACATGACTTCACGTCACCACCGCTAAGCTAAAGGAGGCTAATGTTGGCCGTGATGACGTTTAGATAGTCGTCTCATTTAGAAACTTGTAAGACACTCTTCTTCTAAAAATGTCTTCAGCTTGTGTTAACCACCTACCAGGGAACAGGAAGTGCTAAAGTGCTGACTCATTGAAGGGTTTAAGGATTCCTGCAGCGCTCTATTTAAAGCTAATGTACTTAGTGTTCTACTTGTATCTTCATGGTTGACTGCCCTCATTGTACGTCTCTTTGGATAAAAGCTGAGTGTAATGTAGGACATGGAGGCAGCTCGTCCTCTGACTCTCTCTCAGGCCCGAGGTGTTAGCATTAGCCCGCGCAGAGCAACCCACATGCCCACTGGTGCAGGTGCCTCTCCATGGGGCCAGGTGGCGGCTAATTCGCTCTCTCTGTCCTTCCTAATGAATCGTTAATTGGTTTGCCTCCCCCGCTGAGTGGAGGATAGCAGGCTTCTGTCTCTGCCGAGCCTCCGCCTGCACGCCTCACAACGTTAACCGGACAGAAAAAAAGATAAACAGAGAGGAAATTGAACTAGTTTTAAGCCTGTTTTTGTTGTCAGAGTTTAGATATAAACAAAGTATTAGGATTTAATTGTGTTTGTTTGTGTTCCCACAGCTTTGGAAATTGTTTTTTTAATTTAATTACATTTTGTTATATATATTTTTTATTATTTATTTTCCTTTTCTTTTCTTAAATAAACAAATATATATATAGTACATTTTTTCGTTGAGTTAAAATAACCAGTAGACCATTTAATATTATTTAATGTGGTTTTAGTCAAGATTATTTAATTGTATTTAATTTATTAATTTGTATTATTATTTTTGGTTTTCTTGAAGAAAATATTTTTTAACATTTTAGTTGATTTTATTTGATTTCTGACATGTATTTATAATTGTTTTGCTCTAATCTGGTACAACTTCTTGATACAGTCAGGAAGCATCTTGTTTTCATCTTTACACATTAATAATTCTGCCGTTTTCAAAGTCTACAAACCTCTAAATGTGTCAGCCTGTGTGTTTGTAAATAATATGTTAGTTGGTTGATTATAAACAGCTCAGTTCACATATCCTATAGCTGTCTCTCTGATAATAATCAATACATATAATCAATAAATTAATCAATTTCTGCATAGACCGTATGAATCCCACAGTATTTCTCTGTTCTAAACACTGAAGCTTCAGCTCATACAACAGTCTCAGTGATTGGAGATATTGGAGTCTGACCTTTGCTCTCATTGCTATCGATTCATCTTCGACAATTTCATATTTCCAATGTTTCCTGCTCCGTGGAAAAGTCAATGTAATGCCTGAGATGTAAATATGTTGTCGAGTGAAACACATGCAGGATTACAGGAGTCCGTGTTTACCTAAATGTATTCTTCTTCTTCTTCTCTTCTCTGCAGGTGGTTGCTCTGAACAAACGCAGCAAAGAGGCCGAGTCGGCGTTCCTGGGAATCTACAAACAGCTGATCGAGGCCCCGGGTGAGTCCCCACTAACACACAACAGCATGAACACACACACACACACACACACACACACACACACACACACACACACACACACACACACACACACACACACACCCACACACACACACACACACACACCCTCAACCTTCCTTCTCCCTTCTGTGTATTCATTTGTGCTACATTTACATCAAATGCTGGTACATTATTGCATTTTTTTGAGGGACTTTCCGGTAATTTAATGCATTTTAAGCAACTTTATTTACATTTGTCTGGGCTTTACCATATGACTCCTCAATGCTCCTGTCTCATTTTCAAACATCTCTGTTGATAGCCATAGTCCTTGCTAGAAAACGCACATTTAAAGACTGGAATTCACATAAAGAAGTTAAAGGAAACATACCATTTTGAAAAAGTTGTTTGCAAAAATAAAAATGTATATATATATTTTCATAAACACAGAGAAGTTAGAGCAAACATTGGATTTTGTAACAGTTACTCCGTGTTTAACTTAAAAAACAATTAAACAAATAAATCAAATTAAAGTAAAATTGATAAGTATAAAGTAAAAAGTAAAAATTGGATTTCAAAACAGTCAAAATAAAAGTGTAAAAGATACATGTAATATAAAATGTAATATAAATATATATATATTATAAATAAAATAAATAATAATTAACTTTGTATAAATATAGCTTTAATTTTTTTTTGTGATGCTTGTTCCTTTTTAGAATAAAAAATAAACTTAACAAATGTATACAAACATAGAGAAGTAAAAAAAGTCCTACGATATATAAACCAATTCTTGAAAACCACCCCATCAAACCTCCTCTCCCCCCTCCGGACCCCTCTATACACACAGTGACATTTCATGTATATATGAACACACACAAACTTTAAGAAAGTGTGCTCCCGTACCCTGCAGCTCTTATCTATTTTTCAAAGTCTGCGCTCTCAGGCTGGTTTCCAAAACTCTGCATGAGGCCACTTCAAAACGCCGAGTGTAGCCGAGCCGCGGAGCCTCGCATCCTGCAGGAGCCACCGCTGATTGTGGAGGGCCAATTAAAATCCAACTGAAGTCTGCTGCACAGGGTCTGATGAGGCCAATGGGGGAGGGAAAGGGGGGAGAAAGAGGGGTGAGGAGCACGGTGAAGTTGGAGAGGGTCGGGTGTGTCAGAGTCGGAATCTGAATTCCTTTATTTGTCCCGCAACGGGGAAATGTACATTATTATTACAATGAATGCACATTTATTTATTCCACACATGGCAGTTACATTAAAGGTCCCCTATTATACTGTTTTTCATCAATATATTACAGGTCTGAGATATATACAGAGCCTGTCTCTGATTGGCTGAATGGCTACATGTTGATGAAGAAGAGACATTAAGAAGAGGGGACACATGTTGATGTAGAAGAGACATGAAGAAGAGGGGACACATGTTGATGTAGAAGAGACATGAAGAAGAGGGGACATATGTTGATGTAGAAGAGACATGAAGAAGAGGGGACACATGTTGATGTAGAAGAGACATGGAGAAGAGGGGACACATGTTGATGAAGAAGAGACATGAAGAAGAGGGGACACATGTTGATGTAGAAGAGACATGAAGAAGAGGGGACACATGTTGATGAAGAAGAGACATGGAGAAGAGGGGACACATGTTGATGTAGAAGAGACATGAAGAAGAGGGGACACATGTTGATGTAGAAGAGACATGAAGAAGAGGGGACACATGTTGATGTAGAAGAGACATGAAGAAGAGGGGACACATGTTGATGTAGAAGAGACATGAAGAAGAGGGGACACATGTTGATGTAGAAGAGACATGAAGAAGAGGGGACACATGTTGATGTAGAAGAGACATGAAGAAGAGGGGACACATGTTGATGTAGAAGAGACATGAACATGGGGACATTTAAAACAAAACAGGTACACTTACACTGGTTACATACATAACATAATGTATACAATATGTTGTCTTTCATTAGTGCACATATTTTATTTCCAATATTTCTAGTATTACAACCATATTAAATGTAAATACTGTTACTTTTTATTCTAATATAAAGAAATAAAGAATAAAATACAAATATTGGAATAAAAATAGAGAAATTAAAGCGAACATTGGATTCTGTAATTTGAGAGTAAAATATATATTTTTATAAACATAGACCAAGTTGAAGTAAAGATTTTAGTTTTATTCAATGTAAATACTGCTATTTTTTTTTACTATATTCTTAAATATTTTTTAATATTTTAAAATATGTTTTAATGTTATTATAGTTTTCTTCAAATAGTTTTCTATCTGTGTTTTTAATTTTAATTTTTTTATGTATGCACCACAACACCAAGTCAAATTCCTCGTCTGTGTCAACATACCTTTCTGATTCTGATTACAACAGCAGAAGTACGATGCAAAATAACAAAGTATGCACGCGTTATTAATTATAAAAAACACAATAATAAATAAAAACCATAGAAAAAGCACCATATATAATTGAAGAGGTAGTACTGCACTGTTTGTAAATGAGATAGACAGAATAAAGCGTGAATGCGTTGCTCTTTGTTGCGAGAGCCAATCTCTGAGCAGATCAGAGGAACACTTGTGGCAGCAGCAGAGAAACGCTGTTTACAGATTCAATGAATACAAGATAAAAGTGTGCGTCAGAGAAAATAGCGAGTGACTTTTAAAGGTCTCCATTTTTTCCTTGAAGTCGCCTGCTTGATATTGCACCAGCACACACACACACACACACACACACACTTATACACACACATACACTTTGAATGGAGTTATTTCCTTGATAAGAAATACCGTCTCTTTGAAGATGTATTCAGTTTGATTTTCTGACCTATAGATTTTATATAGACGCCCTAAATTCAAGCCCAGCAGCGTCTGGTGGGATATGTTCTGTAACAAAGTGGAGAATAGTCAGCGAGGAGTTGTTGTACTCCAGAAGAAAGAGTCTAAATTGGGGAAAAAGGACACTGTCAGGCGAAATGAACTCTATGTGAAAGAGAGAACATCTTAGTAATGCAGCTTCTGTTTCTAAGTCACTGCTGTTTCATTATAGTTTGGTTACATCAGGTGACCATGTTTGACCTTACCTATAAAGAGGGTCTGTTAATAAAGGGCCTAAATAACTTAACAAAGCTAGACTACTAGCCTGATGGCACTTTTTTCAGGAAGTAAACAAAGGAGTCCAATGGAGGCGTTTAGCAGACCATTTACATGCACAGAAACCTACAAGAACTACACAAACCTTTAGACTGGAAGGCACTGTTACAGGCACCCTCTTCATGTGAAGTTACATTACAACACACACACACACACACACTCTCCAAACAGAGAGTATTTCTGTGTCCGAGCATATCTGTGTGTGTGTGTGTGTCCCCGAGCATATCTGTGTGTGTGTGTGTGTGTGTGTGTGTGTGTGTGTGTGTGTGTGTGTGTGTGTGTGTGTGTGTGTGTGTGTGTGTGTGTGTGTGTGTGTGTGTGTGTGTGTGTGTGTGTGGTCTACAGTATCCTGTTTGTCACTGCACTTCTTGCTGTCAGTGTCCAAGGTCACATCTCCCCCCCTCGTTTCTACAATGGATGACTGCAGGTCCAGCGGAGGACAGTCATTTGGCTGCAGCCCCACTTCATTTCACACACACACACACACACACACACACACACACACACACACACACACACACACACACACACACACACACACACACACACACACACACACACACACACACACACACACACACACACACACACACACCCTCTCACACACCCTCTCACACACACTCACCCCAAACATCACAGCTCATGTATTTTTTATCTTTCGACAGATGCAATTATTCTTTACACGCCACGCTCATTAATCTTAATGCAGTTATTACTATTCATTGCAAGAAGGCTTTTTTTCTTTCTATTATTTCATTAGAAAGTGCCTCTGTCCTCTCAGTGTGTGTGTGTGTGTGTGTGTGTGTGTGTGTGTGTGTGTGTGTGTGTGTGTGTGTGTGTGTGTGTGTGTGTGTGTGTGTGTGTGTGGTCCAATCAGAGGAGGAGTTACGCTTGATGCATGCAATATGAGACCTGTTGACATTAACAGCAACTCACAGAAACACTATTGAATACAAAATCACTGATTACAATGTAACCTAATCTGAGTATCAAAATATTAAAGTAGTTCCTGTGTAACACTAGCACTGCTATTGGCTAGCGCACCAACACATTGGTTGACCAATCACAATAGAGCAAAAATAAAGAGCTTTTTGAACATTAAAGCATCGAGACACTACATACTGATATACACCTGAACATCAGCAGGAGAGGACTCTTTAAAGTAGAGACACTACATACTGATATACACCTGAACATCAGCAGGAGAGGACTCTTTAAAGTAGAGACACTACACACTGATATACATCTGAACATCAGCAGGAGAGGACTCTTTAAAGTAGAGACACTACATACTGATATACACCTGAACATCAGCAGGAGAGGACTCTTTAAAGTAGAGACACTACATACTGATATACACCTGAACATCAGCAGGAGAGGACTCTTTAAAGTAGAGACACTACATACTGATATACACCTGAACATCAGCAGGAGAGGACTCTTTAAAGTAGAGACACTACATACTGATATACACCTGAACATCAGCAGGAGAGGACTCTTTAAAGTAGAGACACTACATACTGATATACACATGAACATCAGCAGGAGAGGACTCTTTAAAGTAGAGACACTACATACTGATATACACCTGAACATCAGCAGGAGAGGACTCTTTAAAGTAGAGACACTACATACTGATATACACCTGAACATCAGCAGGAGAGGACTCTTTAAAGTAGAGACACTACATACTGATATACACCTGAACATCAGCAGGAGAGGACTCTTTAAAGTAGAGACACTACATACTGATATACACCTGAGCATCAGCAGGAGAGGACTCTTTAAAGTAGAGACACTACATACTGATATACACCTGAACATCAGCAGGAGAG